GCAGACAAGGTTTCAAAGTAGGAATGGTGAAGATTTGCTTCCAGGTCAAATGGGCAACAACATTTTCACGTAGCAAATTCGGCCCCGACGAACCCCGACGAACTCCGACGAACTCCGGCGAACTCCATTCCTGGGTTATCTCAGAACTTTGATTTCCATTTTTCCTGATTAGTTTTAACCTACCACAAAGCGACGCACAGCGCCTGAATGCCAAAGTTCCTTCCCAGCTGCTACCAACAAGGACGGGGTCAGGGTCATACCTTGTGTTCTAGAAATCCCTTATTCCCAAGGAACCACGTTGCTCGCGAAAAAAGCCATCTCATCATGTACTCTTTCCAACCACATACCCCAACAACACTTCTTATGTATTTGTGGGTTAACTTCTTCCCCAAGCTCAGCATGTCATTGACTTGTCCTTAGATTTCTTTGGGATCAATCCGTAAGTGGATGGGCTTATCATGATTTATTTAGCTTATGATTAAGGGTCCCTTTGGTATAGGTTATTTCTCAGCTGCTGTCACGCAAGCACTAGCCCCACAAAATTGTAAAAGGCCTCCAGCAAACCATGCTCTAGAAATACTACTGTGGCTCTACGGGGATTTTCTTCCTTCGCGAAGCCTTCGCGAAGCCTTCGCCGGGCTTCGCGGGGAAGCCTCTGAATGTGGAAAAATAGATTCATTACCAACAAAATACAAGACCTGTTTATTGCAGCGTTCGCACCACCCCAGCAATACTCAAACGACAATAGGCTCCGCCTGCCCGACCCTAGGCTGGGGCGCGCTAAGAACCGCAAGGGCGTGCTGTGGCAACCAGCAGACATGCAGCGTGCAACATGCACGCAGTGGTCTTCTTGCAAGGCATTTCGAAAAACTTGGGAAGGGGCCAGCAGCGCATTGCAGTGCAAAAACATGAGCTTGCAGCGCCTAAATTCACAACGGTTGCCCCATCACTTTTCACAGGTGAGCGCCACACTGCTTCCCCGCAGATCCTTGCAAGCACTGTTGTCAATGCTTGCACGCATGGCAATAACAAATCAGATGATCCATCAAGAACCGCTAGGTGACTTGAATGTCATGCGGTCGGACCCCAACAAGCAATGTTATCACTGCTTGTCTGGAAACACCAACCCAAAATGATTCATCAACAACCCCAGCATGACTTCGATGTCATGCAGTCGGGCTTTCCAATGCCGTTGTTTCTTCTGAGGCTGCTTTGGCATCTCCCCACGCAATGTCTTGCATGAGATCCTTATCATCTTTGCACTTGGACATGTTCTGGTGACCAGTCAACTTGCGGAAAGCTTTCAGGCAAGAGTTGCAGACACCTCCACGCTGATCTTCTGAGCGGGGAGCTTTGCAAAGCTGGCACTGGCTTCTTTTCTCATTATCACCACACTTCTGCGCCCATGTGCGCGCTCGCTTCTTCTCCGTGCTGTCTTTCTCACAAACCATGTCTTTCAAAGTCCGTTTCTTTGGCTGCGGTGTTTTGGGCGGAGATTCTTGGCCCGACGGGCTTGCCTTCAAACGCACGGAGGCCAAAGTGAATAACACAAAAAAAGCACCGTACGTTGTGACATTTAAGGGAAACAAAATTGAACCCGACCAATGCAAGTAACAAGGCACACAAACCTTGGAAGGAGACTTCTTCATCGGTTTCACAACGTGTTTCGGCTCAACAATCTCGCCATCCGACTCAGACATTTGAACGGCATGCTCATGCTCAGCCAGTTTGGGCTTCTCATCCGTCTCATCCTGCTGCTGCTCTGGCTCGGGCGCTGGAGCGTCAGCCAAAGGTGCTGGAGGAGGTGGTGGGCCAGGCGGGCCCTGCTGCTCCGGAGGGGCCTAAGATAAAACAACCGTCTTCCAAAATCTGACAAAATTGGTTAAAATCAGTTTGGGGGATATTGGAACTATTTGCCAAAGGGAAACCTATCTAATGGGGTCTGTATCTTGAGTTCTGCGCTTACAAAAGGTAAACTTGAAACACAAGCAAACTACGTTCTGAAACCGGCTCAGCTGCATCAAAGGAGATACTTTCACTCATTCCATTGTCCACTGCTCTCTTCTTGGAATAATACTTTGTGCCGTCGGGTCCATGGAATACCCCTCAGCTGCGCCCCGTCTGAAAAAACGTTATTTTTTCAAACAATATCAAATTCCACTGTTGGGACCAAAATCTTCTACAGCCAAAAAAAAGCAAGCCAGCTGAGATTCAGTAAGGATCTCCAACATGCTGTCCACTGCTGCGGAAACGTTTCTCAACCCACCAGCCAGCCATGGCTTATACAAAGTGCGGTGACACGTCGGAAAATGAATGTGAGGGAGGTGGTGATGAAACTGACACTCTGTCTTTCTAAAGGTTCCTGTCACACGATGACACACGGCCTATCCTATCCATGCGTGAAATTTCCCCAAGATGGTTGAAAGTGTAGATTGCTAAACTGGTGTTCAAATCCCCATGGAACAACCCTACAAGAGATTCCCTCAAGAACCCAAGGCTTCAAGGCGCACACTGTCCACTAACCCTTCTCATAAACCAGTGTTTCAAACAACTTCCCAAAACCAAACAAAAAGGATGCTGGAATAAACCCATGCCTGCGTGTAAGCTATCCTAATACAGTATTGGAACTGGATGCAGGAAGAAAGTTGTAAACAGTGTCCCCGTCAACATATAGTAGATGAACACAAAAATTACAGAACATAACAATGACCAATTCCACATCTGGGCCACCCTGATGGATATGTAAACGAGTGTGATGCCTAAGGTAATGATGGAAATCTTAAGCTAATCACCGAAAAAAATGAATTGAACACAACAAGAATTGCAAGTTTAGTTGAACCACATCTATCACTACGTAAACCCTATGAAAGTAGATCCCAATTCCAAGCTGTTAAGATGATAAACTCATGATCACATTATCTTTTTTGGGTGGGTTACACCTTGTCTTATATAGTAAAACATATATAGGTAAATTTATCTGTCTCCTAGCCTACGCGAAGAGCCTTCGCAAGAAAATCTTACCTCGCTTACGCCTGTGGCTTCGCGCGGTTTCGCGCACCAGCAAAACCCAGGAGAAATGCTTTCGCGGCAAAAGTTGGAACAGCACTCTCAACTAAATCTCTGCATCCCAAAAAAAAACTCATATGGAACTTCATGTTTCCGGCTCACGATGTCCATGTCTCTGGTGTCTTAGGGTCTATTGAACTCCAGCTACAAATTCTAAGCCGCAAACGAAACTACATCATCCCAATGACTATCACTGAACAGTTTTGATGCCCATCCAGAGGGGAATTCCCATTGCCATGTTTGATAACCAGAGGGTACAGTGCCTACCAGGAAAAGCATCGAGGTGTCAGGGGAGGTTTCAATGGCCAGCCTACACCTTTACATCTCCCGTAAGAACCCCTGTGTGGACACACTGTTTGGGGAAAACCATGGAAAAACCAACCATCCGGCTGCTCCCGCAGGTGTGAGCCTCCTGCAAGAACCAAACGTCCTGCTGGTGTTTGGGTTCAGGGTTTCGACAGTGCCCCGAGGAAAAGGCCGCCCAGCCAAAATGTTTCGTTTGTGGGATTTCAAATTGTAGCTGGAGTCAGGAAGCTTGGGTTTTTTCAGTTTCTCAAAAGTGAGACATGGATTTTCATGGAGATTCAGTTTCCGAATCGTGATCTTATGTGGCTGCTTGCATCTTTAAATTGAGCTAAATGTCAGTCAGCTACAGATTTGGTTCCGCCCAAAGAGGCTACAGCACCGTTACAGACCTGTCGTCTCACATGGTTATTTCGCACGTTTGAGAATTTTCAGACCCCAATCTTGCGAACTTGAGGCCCTGCCTCTGAGCTGCTGCGGTTGCTGTCCTCATCCATCTTCTCATCGATCTGCAACGACAAATATAGAAAAACATAGAAAAAACAATGCAAAAGCGAAGAAAAACAAGAAAAACAATCGAAAAACTGAGGGAAACGCTAGATTTTTTTGAAAACTATTGAAAACTGATGGAACGTGCTAGAAAATCATAGAGAACTATGGAAAATGGAGAAAAAACGCTGGAAAACTAGCGAAAACAATTGGAAAATTGATGAAAACTGCTGGAAAAACAATGAAAAAGCAAGGAACCCAACCCCGAACAAAAAAAAAAGCAAAAAAAACAAATTGCCAACTTAATTCCGCGCCCTTAAAAAAAAATGCCACCCAAAAAAAAAAAACCCTCCGTATGAAATTCCCAACTGAATGGAAAAATAAAATTCATGTCCCAAAGCACCAACCAGGTATAATACTGGTAAAATTAAGATATAATACTGGTATAATATTGATTGCTAATGCTACATTAAGGGAATAATATCTGATATGATATATGGTATGTTACCAGTAAATCAGTATATCAACATAAACAGGATATTCCATGGGATATAGGGGAATTATATATATATAAAAGTGATGACATGTCTGGTCCTTGAACATCGAACTGGGTTGTTGAATTGGCTTGGTACCATTTTTTTTGGTATCAGGTTATCACTAGTTGGAGGGTTACCCACATTAATTCATATGAAAAAAAACAAATATTTTCATACAATCTGAATAAACCATGGTTTCTCCATATATATGATAAACCCATCTCATAAACCATCGTTTCTTCCACGCTTGACATTGCCCTTTTTTATCCAGGTCCCTTTTTTAGGTGAGACATGTTCCGACCATCCCCAAATGATCCATAACTTGGCTCATGGATATTCATTCCCCCCCATCATGCATATATATATATATAATACATAGTTCCATATTATATATTATAAAGTTGCTATTAGATTTTATATATATATGTATAGTTATAGATATCATTATTATACCATCTGGTTATTTAACATAGCCATGGAAAATCACCATTTTTAATAGGTAAACCATCTATAAATGGGTCATTTTCCATGGCTATGTTAAATAACCAGAGGGTATATGCCCTGATCAAAAGAACATCTTCACGGTGCCCGTTTCGGCAGCCGCACATTTGCCGGTTTCACAGGACCAGCCATCTCCACATCCTCGGGCGCAAAAGGCGTGCGCTACAACGGGTGGCCGTCATCTGTTGAGAATGGGGACGGTGTCAGATGTTGATATTTTACGTATGTATACTGTATAAGTATATAATATATAACATACAATAATAACATATGTCTATCATACAAGAATGATAATTACTGTACCTATTAATTTAGGTATCATAATCTCATCATGCATCTACGGTGTCAAGTGACTTTCCTTTCTGCTTTCCAGGTCGCTTTCCCAAAAAAAAACGGATCATCCTGGTCCATCTTCAGCAGTGGACGCAACCATTTGCAAATGAATTGCAAATGATAGCGTAAACCCTCTGGTGAACTAACATAGCAATGGAAAATCACCATGTTTAATGGGAAAATCCACTATTAATGGCCATTTTCAATGCTATGTTAGTTCACCAGAGGGTAGTGAGAATCCAAACATCTAGAATGTATATAAAGCCCTAAAAGTTTGGAAATCCACTACGAATTGAATCACCTTTTTTTAGACCAAAGCTGGAATATCATGGGATCTAACATTAATGGCAATCCACTACCAATTTAAACCAATGTTGGTTTATATATCCCCTACTAATGTTGGTAGATACACTCCTACTACAGAATGATTGATGATCATTGATATGCTATAAAAATGGATTATAGTTGGAACCATAGCATGATTATAATGGGAACCAAATGAAAAAGTACAAGTAGATTGATGGCCATCCCCCCTTTTGTGGGAAAGAAGCCAAAAGGTTTTCATCATGGCAAAACAAAGAGAAATGGGAAACAGTTCATTGTCACGCTGTGATATTTTCAGTTTGCCAAGGAAACGGTTTAGTTTTTTCCCACATATAGTTTGGTATACCATCTATCATCATTTCCCTGTTGTTAAAGGGGTTTCTTCAAACCCCTCTATTTATCAACCAACCAATGGGAAAAGGACATCTATGGTGGTTTATGTGGTTTACAAGACTTACCCTCTGGTGTTTTTTATCATAGCTATTGAAAATGGCCCAGTCGAAATAGTTGATTTTCGCATCAAAAATGGTGTTTTTCCACAGCTATGTAAACGTTTACATTGGGCCAGGTACATCTGTGGTTTTTTTCAAACATCACCACCCAAAGGGCTGCCCGTATTGACGGATCGTCCACGGCTCCAACAACTGGTCCAAGTCTGGGCTTCCTTGCTGCAGACGCCATTCCTCACGGGGAAGAAGGAGGCTTCCTGGCGTCGAATCTCATCTGGTGGTTGACCTACCCCTCTGAAAAAGGAGTTCGTCACATGGGATGATGAGTGGTCCCAATATATGGAAGGATTATCCCATATATGAAAGTCAATGGGAAGGATTATCCCATATATTCTGGAAAAATAATCCAAATGTTCCAAACCACCAACCAGTATGTGTTGATTGTTGATAAAGATTAGCATAGCTTCACATGAAGTATTGGCGAACATCGGCTAATATTGGTTGACACCAAACAGCTTGCGTTGGTTGATATTGGCGAATGCCGGTCGATAGAAAGGTTACTGAAATGTTTGTTGACTCATGGAACATTTCCATTGGGTTTGGTTTAGAACCAACAAAAAAACTATAGGTTTCTGACACAAAAAAACACCTGGTTCTTAAGCATTCGCAAGCAACAAAGATCCAAGAATTCAACATGGGGAGTCTAACAGCATCATGGTGGGGATTAAAAGAGGACACACACCAAGCACTACTTGGACCATACACCGATTTCAGCAGGAATATCATATGATGGTGAGATATATTGCAATCCAAATCATATGTCATAATATCACTAATCCAAGAATGTGAGCTCAGCTCTTATGAACAGGAGGGGCCACAACTCATATTTGGCAACTCGTGATTCGAGTAAGCCACGTGGCAACCACTGACGGTTGGGAATCATCATCCCAGAACGGGAATCCCGCAAAATGATGGAGTGAGTTCGTCAGCTGGGATGATGACATATTCCCAACTGGTTTTGGAAAAATAAAAAAAATGTTCCAAACCACCAACCAGATATATTCTACCATTATTAACCATCATTAACCATCATTAATGTTCCAAACCACCAACCAGATGAGTAATTCAATGTACTTTCCCCATGATTTGACAGGGCGGATGTTTACTGATTGAGGAAGACTGGATCACTGGATCACCCCTCTAAAAATCAACCAATGGGAAGAGGACATCTCCACTCCCATTACGTTTTGTTTCATGTTTGTTAGCCGTATCCATACATGTCACCAGTATGTCGGCACAACTTGACTCCCAGGTGCTGAAAAACAATCACAGACGGAATATACAATAGAATGTCTATATTTCTGTTGGCAAAACACTCCCATGGTTCCAATGTCGAGTATATCAAATGCCAATGAAAAAACTAGCAACACAATTGTTCTTGGGTCGTTAAATGCTCTGAATCTATGCGCGTTGATGTTGCCAAGAACCGTTGTTGCAACATGTTGGATTCAGATCCCCTAAGAGTCTAGACATGTGAAAGACTAAGAGGACGTGAAACAATGTACTATGTAAATGGTGATTTGGATCAATTTCTTCATGTATCCTTACTTGTTGACAATAACCAAGTCTTGTCTCAGAATCAACATGTTCGGATCATAGAATCCCCATGTCTTTGGCCAAGCCACTTTTCCCCATAGATAATAAGCACATAATAGCGATTCTGTAGTATTTGTATACAGCAAATGACGCATCCCTATTTATAGATGTGTTCTTTTCCATGATCTCTGGGATTCGTTAACCCCATCAATACCCAAAAAAAATGATTCTCAAGCTTATCTGGGTTATATGGTCAAGGTGATCTCAAGGTTTCCAAATCAATTCCAGTTAAGAACCGTTATCAATCCATTATACTGGTTGGTTGTTTTTTGGGATTCCCCTATTGGATTATTATAATCCCCAATATGTATATATATATACATATTTCAATAATATGATAATCATCAATCCCAATAATCAAGATAATTATTGAAGACTATCCCATTATATTGATATATACATATACATATATACAAATATGTTAATTCATATAATCATATATAATATTATATCTGGTTGGTGGTTGAGCCTACCCCTCTGAAAAATATGAGTTCGTCAGTTGGGATTATGAACTTCTCAATATATGGAAAAATACAATTCATGTTCCAAACCACCAACCAGCAATATGTCAATACCAACAAATACCCTCTGGTAATTTGTTACATAGCTATTGAACATGGCCATAGAAATAGTTGATTTTCCCATTAATAGCATGGTGATTTTCCAGTTCGCGAACTGTTAGTTTACCAGAGGGTATAGGGTCATATATATATATATAGTTGTGTTTAAAAAATCATATATAATATTATATAATCACTATATATAATATATTCCCCTACAATCCCCGCTGGTTTCCACTGCTGCTTCGCCTCATGCGCCTCACAGGTGGTCATGCCCCGCGCGGCGTCGCAGCCGCTGAACATCTCCATGCCCTTGATTTCATCACAGGTAGCGGAAATAATGGGAAAACATGTGGATAATCATGGTGAATAGTGGTTAATAATGGTTAATAGTGGGAAGATATGTGGTTAATAATGGTTAATAATGGTTAATAATGGTTAATAATGGCTAATATTGGTGAGATGTTTAACAGGTTAATTAATGGTTCAATAGATGATAGTGGTAAAAATAGTCATTAGCGATGAAGAGTGGTTAGTCAAAGACCATTGACCAGCTCAATGCCATGGTTAAGATAGAATGTTACAGTGTTCATGCCTTACCCTCTGGTAAACTGTCACAAAACTATGGAAAATCACCATTCTTAATGGAAAAACTCACTATAAATTGGTCATTTTCAATAAACTCACTATAAATGGGCTATTTTCAATAGCTATGTAACAGTCATTACCAGGCCGGCTAAGTGTTTATTGGCCATCCCACGCCACCAGCGCCACAGCAAAAAACCATGGATTGACCAGGAGCTCAGGGGATATTCTATATGGAAACGATTTCCATGCAGCGTTTAAGTGATTGATCATTTCCATGTCAATCCCACAACTGCTATATGATATTTCATATATGATATATATATATATATTGCTGATGGAGCATACCCTCATAGCCTTTTACCAACTGTTTCATATGCATACATGTGCAGATATTTCATTTGCGGCTGACACCATAGCTGCTTTTCTCTCAAGAGCTCAGACGTGAGCACCGAAGCCCAGACTAGGGCATCCAGCTGAGAAAACAACGAGAAGCGGCAGCTTGGTGAAGCGAGGCGAGAGGAGCTGTGGAGATTGGTTGGAGGGAATAGAAAATAAGAATAGAAGGGAAATAAGAAGAAATAGAAGTGGTAGTGGGGAAAAGCCTGGTGAGGATCCAGCCGGACCTCATCAGGTTATGAGCCCAAGAGGTTCCACCAACTCCCAGAAAAGCCAAAAATGATGTATGGCCGAAGAAAAGCCAGCAGAAAAGAACTAGAACAAGGTGAAAAAGAAATGAAGGAAGCCCATGAAAGGCTAGCCAAAGAAATGGAGGAATCAGGTGAGTTGCAGTTAGAAGATGGAGGAAAAGAGGCCGAAGGTTTCGAATCCCCCCAAGTGTCCCAGAGGGATATAGCGAAGGGAAGTGAGGAGATGCCTAAAGGAACCCCAAAGACCTTTGTCCCTGCACTGCCTGAGTCCGCACCATCTCAGGAAATTTCCGCCACTCAGGAACCCGCCGAAAGACCTGAGGCAAAAGCTGAAGTGAGACCTGAGGTGAAAAGCCCAAGATCTTCGACTAAGGGAAGAATGAGTCCTGAAGTCACAGAGCCTGCTGCCATTGAGGACAGACCCAGTGGTACCAAGGTAAGTTTGCAGGGCGCTTCAAATGGCCCTACACCACAACATGCGCTGATTGGTCGTTCCCCTGAGACCGATGCAGTGATCTCTCCAGCACAACCACTTTTTGATGATCAACAATTGAGGCGATTCCAGGAGTTGTATGCGCAAGCTCCTTGGCTTTACCCTCAAGGAGGTCAGATACCGATGCCTCCACCACCATTTCAACATCCAGTTGCTCGACCGCTGTTTCTTGAACAAGATGAAAGAAGGCTTCAAGGTACTGCAGGTATGGTAGACCAAACGCCATTTGTCTATCCGTACATGCCCTCAGTTGGTCCTCAAGAAAACATGGAGTTGAAAAAGGAATTGAAAGAATTGATGGATGAAAATAGGAGGTTGAGAGATCGTGTAGAAGTTTTGGAAAAGGGAAATGAAGACCCGAAGTTTTCAACGCCTGAAGGGAACACCAAGGAGGCTGAGACCACCAGTAAGGAGGCTGAGACCACCAGAAAGGAGGCTGAGACCACCAGAAAGGAGGCTGAGACCACCAGTAAGGAGGCTGAGACCACCAAAGGAAAGGCTGAGACCACCAAAAAGGAGGCTGATAGACCACCAAAAGAAAATGAAGATAGCAGTACGGTGCTCGTGATGCTCAAACTCATGGAAGGCATGCAAGCTCTTCAGAAACAAATGATGCATGGAAGGGATGACGAAGAAACATCCGAAGCAGTTCGCCAAGCACCTGCACTTCCAGCTCTGGCAGAATGGTCTTCGACGTCAGGACCTATAGACCTCAACGACTGGATGGCGCTCATTGAGCCAATGATGAGTGACCTGTCCAACTCTTCAAGTCAATGGTGGCAACTACTGGTTCAAGAAGCGCAGCAATGGTATGAGAGGCATATGCAGCTTCCACCACTTGAACGAGTTGCACACCTACCAAAACCATCCTCAGACTTGGCCAAGCAACGATGGGCCAGGCTTGAGAGGAGAGCATCAACTTTGCTGCTGATGGCCGTGCCAGAACCTCAAAGAGAAGAACTCATCTCATCGAAGAGGCTGACTGCACTCTCCATCATATGTCAACTTCTGGTGATTTATCAACCTGGAGGTTTAGCAGAAAAAGAGCTGATCCTACGATCTCTGGAACAACCACCGGAATCAGCCAATCTCAGCGAAGCAGTCCAAAATTTGAGAAAATGGTCCAGGTGGCGAAGAAGAGCTGCTGATTTGAGGATCTCAGAACCAGATCCTTTCCTGTTGCTGAAAGGCCTCAACAGGATCATCCGCAAGCCACTGGAGCAGAATCGAGATTTGAGTTTTCGAATCAGCCTTGCCAGGTCCACGCTTCAGGTGGATTCAACACCAACTTCAAGTTCGGTGGCTTCCTTTGCCTTGCACTTGATCGCTGAATTTGAGCAGGTCGTCCATCAAGAAGCGACCAATGCCCCAAAGAAAAAGGTTGAGGAGAAGCCGAAAGTTGCGAAACTGAAAAAGCTTGAGGAGGAAAAGTCCCCCACAAAGAAGGAGGACGCAAGAGAAGAAAGAGGAAAATGCAAGTTCTACCTGAGTGACACTGGTTGCCGCCGTGGAAAAAGCTGCCAGTGGTCGCATGACCAAAAAGATGAAAAAAGGAGATGCTGGACTTGCGGTAGTCCAGAACACATGGCTCCGTCTTGCACAAGACCAAAAGGGCCTGGCGACACCTCTCCTACAAGGTTGAAGGCACAAAGAGCTGAGGGGGAGGAGTCATCGCCATCAAGTTCAAAAGGGAAAGAAGAAGAAGGAAGTCAGGAACAACAAGCATCAATGAAAGACCTACTTGAACAAGCCAACAAGATGCTGAAAAACCTGACCTCCGCAACAACGACCTCATCTACAACATCTTCGGCAGGAAGTGAAGCCAGGGATGAAATTGTGGACAGGTTGCAACAGCAACTTGACTCTCTCAAACTGAAGGTCTTCAAGCTCAGCAAGGTGTCCTATGGCAACTCTCAAGGGCTGGTGGATTCAGGTGCAACACATGCCTTGCGTCCAATAAGGCAGGGTGAGTCGCTGGATTCATACAAAACAGTGCCGGTGACGTTGGCCAACGGGCAGTCCACACAGCTGCACATGACACCTGGAGGAGTGATGGTTTCTCAAAGAGGCCAGACATCGAGCCAATCATACCAATGGGTTTGCTCATCCAACGGTTGGGGTGCAAGATCGATTGGGGTGAAGGAGGTGTTTTTCTCCATCATCCAAAGCGCGGCACTTTGCCGATCCAACTCAATGGTGGATGTCCTCAACTATCACGACCTCTGACCTTAGACCTGATTGAGGAGTTGGAAAAAACAGTTGTTTTGGGGAAGATAGAAGAAAGAAGTTTCAAGGAGGAAGTGGAATGGATGCGAAAATTGGTAGAAGTTCATCCAGTTCTTCGAAAGCTTCCTGAACATATCAAAACGAAGCTGGCAGTGCAGCCAGGTTCATGGTCTGAACTTCCTGCAAACCGCAGGACCCGAAGGCGACTTCAACGTGATGGTTTCATCGCCCATTTGTTTGCCGGAGAAGACGCAGGCTTCACACTGGCTCGAGCGTGGCATCAACAAGGTGGGGATAGCCATTCACTCCTGGAGATTGACATCAAAAGAGGCCCAAACCATGACCTTTTGCAAGATGTGGGGTCGTACCCGGCTCTGATGAGAGCTGCCTTAGAAGGAAAACTTTTGGCTGTGGTCGGAGGTCCAAATTGCAGGAGCCGAAGTGTTTTGAGGCACTATCCGATCCCAGACCAGCCAAATTGTCCGCGTCCACTACGAGAATGGGGAGGTGGTGAATTTGGAAAAGAAGGGTTGACTGAAGCTGAAACCGCAATCCTTCATGAAGATGATCTACTGCTATGGAGAATGATTTTCCTGGCCATGGTTTCCAACTACATGAAAGAAGCTCGCGGAGATTCCACTCAGATTGCCTTTGCGATGGAGCAGCCGGCATCACCAAAAGACTATATGCCGGAGACCGTCTCATTCTGGGATACAAAAGAATGGACTGCACTCAAAAAGGAATTTGCTTGGGAAGAAACGACCTTTCAACAAGGAGCTATGGGAGGAGTAGCCACAAAACCCACAACTTTTGGTGGAAACCTGAACCTCGAGATCAACAAGCACAAGAAGTTCAAAGAAGGAAAAGAAAAGGGGGAGATCAAAACGTCCAAAGATCTCGCTCGCTGGGCACCTGGTGTGATGTCCATGGTTGCCGAGGCATTGATGTTGCAGGTCATGCAGCAACATCCAAAACTTCGTCCACTGAGCTGGGATGAGCACATAGCTCATGGCCATACGCCGTACAGGCGAGACTGTGCAGTGTGCCAACAAACCATGCAGCAGTGCAATCCACATCGAAAGGTACCATACCCAGTTGGAGGAGTTTTGTCTGTGGATGTTGCAGGGCCTCTCATCCCTGCCAAAGACATTGGAGGACTCTACACAAGATGGATGCTTGTGGGCACCTTGACATGGGCTGTGCCTGCAGAGTCCGACAAGCTCAAAGTACCAGAAGTTCCTGATGCCGAAGGCGACGAACCTCAAATCGACATCAACCCTGAAGAACCAAATGAAAATCAAGAAGAAGAAAAAGCTTTGAAAGATAAGGAGGGTGAAGAAGGTAAGGAAGAAGGCGATGAAGCACAGGTGAGAGTTTGGGAAGAGGAGGAAGAGGGAAATGGTGAGAAGGAAGGGGAAAAAGATCCAGCGCTTCCAGGGGGAGGTCTTCCTCCACCACCATACCTTTTGCCTCCCCCTGAGAAGAAAGAAGGGGATCCAGATCCTCAGCCTGGTGGCTTCGACATCAAGATCTTCCGCCTTGCCGCTCCGATGCAAACAAAGACTTCAAAACAGGTCACAAAGACCACAATGGAGTTTCTGCTGAAGCTCAAAATGGATGGGTTCCATGTTGGAAGGATCCATTCTGATCGAGGACACGAATTCTCAGGTCCATTTCGAAAGTGGGCATTGGATCGTGGCATCATGCTCACGAGGACCCCAGGAGATGACCCAAGGGCCAATGGTCGGGTCGAAGTAGCAGTGAAAAGTTTCAAGACGCATATACGTCGGCTACTCAAGCAAGCTGAAGTTGGAAGCGAAATGTGGCCCCTTGCAGCTCGCTATGCTGACGCTCTCAACAGAAGTTGGAGAATTGGAGATGCTCCAGCTTTTCCGCCCTTTCTGCAGGAGATATTGGTGCGACGACGCACTTGGCGCCGTGGGGTCTTCGAACCAACTGTGGAGAAGGTCAAATACTTGTTCCCAGCGCCTGAAGAACATGGTCATTGGGTGCAACCGGCTGATGAGCGACCAAGGGTCACAAAGTATGTCATGAGGAAGGCTACAGAACCCATCACCAACGAGAAGTGGGTTGCTATCGAGAAAGAGGTTGCGGATACCCTGACAACAAGAAGGCGTTTGAGGGAGAAAACAACAGTGAGAAAAATGGAATTTGAAGAGAAAAAGACAGAAGAAAGTCAAAAAGAAGATGAAGAAAAGTTTCAAAAGCTGAAGTTGAGATTGAGCCGAATCATTGAAGAAGAGATGAAGCTCATGGTTGAAGACCACCCAGAACTTGCGAAGGACGAGCTGGCGTGGATTGCAAAAATGAAGAAAATGATGGAGGAGCCTACAGAGGAGGACGAAATCCTTCAAACAAAGGTGATTTCATCAAGGGAGGTTGCCCAACACTGGAACGAATGGCTGTTTGCCATCAATGAAGAAGTTCAAAGTCTGTTAGAAGAAAAGCAGGCGATGAAGAAGGTCACAAAGAAAGAATTGGAGGAGCTACAAAAGAAAGCTTCAGCCGAAGGTCGAAGCGTGGAGATCATCCCGTCAAAACTGGTCTTCACTGTGAAAGCTGGTCCAAATGGAGGAAAGAAAAAGACCCGATGGGTTATCTGCGGAAACTATGAGGCCAAGAAGGACTCTGAGCAGACCTTTTCAAGCGGTGCAGACTCAGCTGCATTCAGAATTGCAGTATGGGCAGCTGCCCGTCATCAATGGTTAGCTACTGTTTTGGACATCAAAACGGCCTTCCTGAATGCTGCGATGGAACAAGGAGATCAAGAAGACATCTTGGTTGTCAGGCCACCTGCGCTCTTCACTGAAAAGGGTTACATGGCCAAGGACGTCTTTTTCCTGCCAACGAAGGCTGTCTATGGTCTTCGAAGGTCGCCGCGCCTTTGGGGAAACTGCCGTGATGAAACAATGGAAGATTTTGAAGTTCAAGCTGAAGTGGAAGAAAAGAAGGAAAGGAGGTTTCACCTTCTACCTCTTCAAGCAGAACCAAATCTTTGGAGGATGTTGGAAAAGGGAGATGAAACACAAAAGCTATGGGGTCTCGTGATGACCTACGTGGATGACATCTTCATCTGCTCTTCTTCCACCGTCCTCGAAGCCCTCAAAAGAAAGTTTCAGGAGACTTGGAAGACATCCAAGCCAGAAGACGTTTCTGGAGAGCCAATTCGCTTTCTGGGGATGGAAGTTTCAAAAAGAACTGAAGAAGAAGGAAAAGAAGTATGGTATGTGACCCAGAAGTCATATATCAAAGATCTGGTTGAAAAGAGCGAAGAAAAGGTGAAGGAAAGAAAAATTCCAATCACTCGTGATCAAGCTCACATCGAAGAGCCAAGCTCACCTCCAACAGTTGACCAAGTACGGGGAGCTCAAAAGTGCGTTGGAGAAGTTCTTTGGCTTCTCACCAGGTCACGCCCAGACCTCATGTATGGCGTGAGCAGGATGGGTTCCAACGTCCTCAGAAACCCTGTCAAGGTCATGGAGCTGGGAGAACAGATGAAAGGGTATCTGAAAAGAACAGCAGAAGAAGGGCTCCGATACCAAGTGGAGTTCCGTGAAGAAATCAGCTTGCAGGCGTTTTCTGATGCCTCGTTTTCCCCAGAAGGAGCAGAAAGCCATGGAAGTTTCCTGATCCTGCTGGAAGGATCGCCAATCTTCTGGCGTGCAGGCCGACAGTCAATGGTGACACTGTCGACGGCCGAGTCAGAAATGACAGAAGTCATTGAAGCCATGACAGCCGGAGAGTCGGTCGCTGTCATCATCCAAGAGCTCTACCCTTTGGTCACCAAGACCGCCTACACCGACAGCCAGGCGGCCGAAGCCATTCTCACCTGCGATGGTGGCAGCTGGAGAACCAGGCATTTGCGCCTGCGCTCGGCATTTGCCCGCCAATCAATTGCCAAGGGTGAATGGGCACTTCAACATGTGCCAGGTGATCAAATGCTGGCAGATCTTGGAACCAAAGCACTACATGCGCCAAGACTTGAAAAGCTGAAGGAGCTCATGAGCATGGGCACCATAAAAGAAGAAGAAAAGGAAGATGAAGTTGAAGAGAGAAAAGATGAGGAGAAAAAGGAAAAAGAGATGAAAAATTGGGCAGAAGCGGCCCAAGCAGTCAGACTGATCACAATGGCTGCTGCAATCTCAACGGCGAAGGCAGTTGAAGAAGAGGAGAAAAAAGATGGAGAAGGCTTCACCTTTGAAAGGATGGTCGTTTGCTACACCGTCTTCGTGGTGTTGGCCACGCTTCTTGTCAAGCGGATCTGGAAGGTAGGAGTACATCTTGTGAAAAGTCTCGCCAAAAGGCGAACTGGACTTCGAGGTGGAAGTCTCCCTGGAAAAGCTGCGCGAGAAGAAAAGAAAGATGGAAAGAAAGGAGGAAAGACTATGGAAGGTAGTTTAATTTCCAGCCATGGCGAGCGTTCCACTCCTGGTGCATCTTCATCCACCTCTATGTCTTCATTTGCTGCTCCGCTGCCAAAAGTGATGCCAGTACAAAAAGGGGCTCCGCGACCAAAAGGGGTTCCAAAAGTGAAAAGTTTACCAAAAAGGGGTCATCAATCAAGCGAGATCCCGACACCAAGGGTTCAACAGCCAAAGGCCTCATCATCAAGCCACATGCCCACCGTGGGGGAGGACATTTTCGGAAGTTGGGATGAAATTGAAAGAGAAGAACGATTGATTCAAGCCGAGCTGAATGCTGCACAACCTGGAGACGCCATTTTGGGTCCAATTGACCAGCTGCCGGACGATGAATTTCCAGAACTGCCATTCAAGGTTTTTACCACAAGGTATGGGGAAGTTTATCATTTGAGCCGCCGCTGCCGTCATTTGACCTCAACGAATTCTGGAATTTCAACGGAATCAAGATGGTGCAGTAGATGCAGACGCTCAGCATATCAATCTGGTTCAGTTCCAAGAGCAGGCGATGTTTTGTATCTGAAAGGAACTGGACGCGACGCCCACTCCATTATGAGATGTCCTGCTGCTCTGGGTGCCAACCATTACCAAATTTGCACGGCATGTTTTGACCAGCCAACAGAAGCAGCTTGAGCTGATCAAGTACGATAGGGGGTGAAATCACCTATCGGAAATTTCAAGGGGGAGTGCTGATGGAGCATACCCTCATAGCCTTTTACCAACTGTTTCATATGCATACATGTGCAGATATTTCATTTGCGGCTGACACCATAGCTGCTTTTCTCTCAAGAGCTCAGACGTGAGCACCGAAGCCCAGACTAGGGCATCCAGCTGAGAAAACAACGAGAAGCGGCAGCTTGGTGAAGCGAGGCGAGAGGAGCTGTGGAGATTGGTTGGAGGGAATAGAAAATAAGAATAGAAGGGAAATAAGAAGAAATAGAAGTGGTAGTGGGGAAAAGCCTGGTGAGGATCCAGCCGGACCTCATCATATATCATATATATATATATATATCATATATCATATAATGTACAACTGGGCTATACAACTAGAAACCCCTGACCCGTAACAAAGATGACAAGTGTTGTGAGTTTTCTTTGGAGAGTCACCCGTGAAATTTCACCAACAACTCAGGGGATTTTGACCATGAAGTGGGATCTTACCATATGTTTGAGCAAAAAAAACGGTTATTGCTTGGGATTGATATGATTACCATGAATGGAATCGGTTCTTCACCCACAACTCTGAGGGCAGAGAACCACTGATTTCGTTTTAAAAGAAAAGGACGGATAAACCCAAAGAAAGTGGATAGACTTGGTATGATTTGGTGATTGGCACACAAACTTTGATGATATCATTCAACACAAATCATGGGAATGCCAACTGCAAAGGTTATAACAGCTATATCTTATTAGTGCCAATTGACAGGAAAACGATGCAACAATGGCACATAGCAAACAATATGACATTTCTATGTGATGGCGATACGGCGACATCGATATGCGTCAAGATTCAACAGGGCCTGAGACACTTCACCGATGCGCAAAGCCAGGAATCCTAATTGGCAAAGAACCACCATAGTTAGAAGCCGTTTAAACATGTATTGATCCCAGAGAAGTGCTAGAAATCAACCAGGGAATCAAGTTCTGAGGTTGAGAGCACGAGTTTGACAACGATGAAGCAAAATGATAATCATCATGACAACAATCATCTACTTGCTAATACGTGAACATTGAACATACATATATGCAACAAAAGCATATACAATATCACATCATATCATAACATGCCCATCATATCACAGCATTCCGAGCAAAGTTATCATATCATATTTCTCATCATTTCAGGTTATATGTATATATATATTATATCATATATATATGTATGTATACATATATATATATCATATGTCATATATCATATCAGTTCCCATCAGTTCCCATCGGTTCCCATCAGTTCCCATCGGCTCAGCCACCGGAATGCATTGCGACTCAGGACAGCAAGCCTGGAGGAAAACCATCAAAAATGGCTCGGTTTAACCATCAAAAATGGTGGTTTCACTGATCAAAAATTGATAAACATTGTGGATTTGTTCATTGTTTTTTTTGGGATATACCTGGCCATTTGGGATAAAACTGTAATTCATTCAAGGGTATTGAACTAAGCTACGATTGAACCAATCCATGAATCATATGATTTTCGTGTGTAGCACATTGGAATCGGTGTTCAATATTTACTTACCGCAACCAATAAGGGACAGAAGCTACCGCAATATTTGGAAGTGAATGGAAGTTAAGCAACCCAAATTTCCAACTCTACTCACCAAAAAAAGGAGTGACCCAAGGAAACTCATGCTTGAGCAACAAAGATGGGGCTTCAGCAACAGCTGATGCAGCCACTGAGCCACCATAAAGAGCCATGGAGTCTACCAACAAACCCAGTTGATCGGGTGGAAATGGCTAACCAAGAGAACCCAACACAAGCATCATATAGAAATGCAACCAATCATCAAACTCAGTTTACCATTTGAATGAGAAACAAATCATGGATATGTATATATATATATACACATGTAAACCAGTGAATTTGGGGGCCCTGTTCTGCAGCCATTTAAGTGACTAACAATTTGCGATGGGGAAATCGCCCATTTATAGATGATCTGAACAATGATTATTTTCCATATCTATGTTAAATTAGCAAAAGGTAAAAAAAAAAGAAAATGGTGACCACTAAGACCCTATTTCCGCGTGTTTTCGCATGTTTGGTGGGTGAATCCAAGGCTTCTTTTTGGTGCATCTCCCTACAGTAACTTGGCTAATTCATCACATCCAGCTGTTGAATAGGTCCAAAAAATGAGCCCCTCTGGCTTCGTACTGGATCAATTACGATCAAATCCACCACTTCAGAGGTTTCCTTTGGGGCTTTCCATCCATTTTGGGCTACCACCAGTCATCATCCATATTTTTTATGGGATTTTCCATGGTTCATTAACCATCCAGCTACATCCATATGGGATTTTCCATCAAAAAGACCATCCATAACTTGTGGTAATGTCAACCCCGGATGAGACTAAACCATGGTTTGTTAATTTGGGGGGTACTCCTCCAATAGTCATTTCATCTAATTTCATCTATAATACTTTTTTATGGTACAAAATCCCAAGTCAACAGCCGTAAACTAACGGGGTTTAGCTTAAAATCCAGGGATCCCTCGGGTTGACAAAACACCCCCATTTCGCTTCACCACCATCCTCTGTTAAAAGGGTCCCACCGTCCCCAAGGAGCCGTTTCGGCGCCGCCTTGGCTCCGGGCCCCTTGCAGAACTTCATCACCGCGGGGGAGCTCATGGATGCGAAGTACCTACGTGCCATCGCAACGGCGCTTCGCATAAGAAGGACTCGAATCGACTCGAAATCATGGTGAAATTGGGTGACATTATATACCATAATATACCCATATAATATAATATAATAATGTGGTAAAGTCTGTGTGAAGAATGATGAATCATGGAAAATCATGGTGATTAAGTGTGAATAATGGTGAATGATTGTGAATAAAGCCTTTGCCATGCTGGTGGTTGACCTACCCCTCTGAAAAATATGAGTTCGTAACTTAACTATTATGAAATTCCCAACTGAATGGAAAAATAAAAAATGTTCCAAACCACCAACCAGTTGTGAATAATGTTGAATCATAGAAAATGATGGTGAATAATGGTGATCAAGTGTGAATAGTGGTGAATGATTGTGAATAATGATGAAGAATTGGAAAATCATCAACCATGGATGAACAATTGATACTTGGAGTGTCCACTCCGGTTTTTTGTAACATGTTGCGACATGGGACATGGCCCATTGAGTTCCGCTTGCGTGTGATTTATCTATTAAATCGATATAAAAATACCAAAGGGTACTCAGTAAAAAAATCTGATAAAAGGTGAATTTGCAAAATGGATAAAACAGGTAGTTACACCGTAACCCCCACCCCCTGAATTTGATCATAAAGCTTTAACATCACATGGAGATTGATGAAGCTCAAGACCAAAAATACAGCCTCTTGGCTTTGGAAGGATATTTTCTTGGGGAAAAAACTGTATACCCTCTGGTAGTTTAACGTAGCTATTGAAAATGGCCATTAATAGTGGATTTTCCCATTAAAAATGGTGATTTTCCATAGCTATGTTAGTTTACCAGAGGGTACCTTTAGAATTTCGATAGTGGCGTACAGTATTTTTTCACAAGTTGGGGATTGAAGCCATCAATAATATCAGGGCCTGGCAAACCCAACCAGACGAAAATCCCAAGTGTGAAAAGTGAAAATTGTGATTAACCATGGAGTAGAGATAATTAACCATTAATAACCATTATTAACCATTATTAACCATATTAGTGTATTATTAACCCTTATTAACAGTAAGACCCCAAGCAAAAATATCCAAAGATTCTCCCACCACACACCTCGCTCCCATCGGCACTGGTCGGCCATATCACCCAGACCGCCAGCTGTCTTGACCTTGGATGGCGAAAAAGAGATCAATGGAATGCTCAACAACAAAATCGATCAAAATCAGTGATTTGTACAAATGTGATACCCATCAAGCTTAGAAATGAATCTATAAGTTGGGCTTAGAAATGGCACACTTCAAATGACACATGGAGTACCTGGGACCGAAGAAACCCATGGAGATCTGCCGGTGTAAAAATGGTGTCATGGGATACAGGAAAAATCCTGAAAAATCGCCATCAACGAATAGTGAAAAAACTGTGAAAATATGATGATAAACCATCAAAATCTGTCAAATAGTAGGGAAACTGATGATAAACCCTTGGGTTTGGGGGATACCCATGGATACCCCGTTTACGTCTCCATACTCTGGAATCAGTTTCCTATTGAATTTTTGCACTTCACATGTGCATGTCGATCTCGGAAAGATGTGTTTAGACATTATATACAATACTGTAATAGTAACTAGTAACCAACATAAAATCACATCCTGTAATAGTAACTTCACCCGCCGTGGCTCTCGAGCTACGTGTTTTTTTAGAAACTAACCGCGAACAACCGTGACATGTTATGTTGGATATAAGGATCATAAGGATCATTGATGGATTTGTTTAAAGGAGTCAGAAAAACCCAGTCAAAACGATTCGGAATCCAAATGAATCCCCAACTGGGTTGACCCCGCTGGCTGCAGCCACAGCAAAGTCCACAGCATTGCCAGGGAGGTTGCCATCGTGTCCAGCTTTGCAACTGTTCTACCGTTAATTTTTTACATGACATTTTGAACCTATATGGTTGGGTGATGAAACAGGTGCGAAGATGACATTTTTGGATCCCGCATCAAGTCATCACCACGGCTTGAAACATCCAAAGTTGACCACCAGGCAGTATGAAATTTGCAATTGCACATGGCCGGCCAATGGAAATCTAAAAGCCACCCGATGCAAATCACCATGGTGTTGGGCATGGAAAATTGGCATGGAAAAAATGGTTGAACAATTTTGGTGTTGTTTTTCTTTTGAAGACATGTGATGCCTACATCAGGAATTCGATCCATCAAAGTCGGCAGAACTGAAAGATGCGCAAATGCTGCACCAAGGGCAGTTTGGTGGGATCAAAGATTCGTTGTTTCATCTCCAAAGCCCTAAAAACAAACGTGAATCGCTGAGTTGTTGATTCAAACGAAACAAAACCATTGAATTTTGATAATGTTCATTGTGACTTCCCATTGGTTTCGGCAAATTTGCGCCGACAAGTCCTGGAAGAGTTTTTTTTTGCAAAACCATGTCGTGTAGAGGGAGAGTTGAATTGCAAAACCATGTCGTGTAGAGGGTTTAGGGTAACTGAACATTCCAAAATTGGGATACTCCCTGGTTAAAACCCCAAGCAAATAGCAATTCATAGCAATTCTATATTACTCTTGTGCCGCTTTGCCTTTTGCGAATTCCTGTTCAGCCTCAGCCTGGGAGAATTTCCCACACAACTCTGTCAAAATGTTGTCACAAGCAGCTCTGTCACACACTGCTTTTGGTTTAATGAAAGACAGAAAGGGAGAAAGAAAGAACGAACTCAAGAAAGAAATAAAGGAGAAAAGAAAGACAAAAATAAATAAGAAGAAGGCAGACAGTAGACCCAACAATAACCATGTCACTTTTTGGCAGAAACGGGTGGTATTGAGTATTCTTTGGGGTTACCTAAATATCCTAAACTGGTGCATCCAATGACGTGTTTCCCTTTTTGAATGGGGCGTGGGGCATGGTTTAAAACACATTTCAATTGGGAATTCAGGTTGATAACATGGATGTAACTTGGGTTGGTTGAAGAATGAAGTCTGACCGGCACTCACGGCTTCTACGTGGGTCTTCAATGTTCCTGTAAAGCAACCCCAGAAAGGTAGAACTGTGTTTTATCGCTATTTTACGTTTTGGAATCTTTTTCGGGCTTACCGTATGTTTTCCTTCATCCAATTCTCCATAGTTCTCCATTGGTGATAGGCCTTGCAGCCGCCGGATCGCCCATCCATGGTGTGTCGGAATGGTCGGAATGGATACATTCCCATGATGGGATGCTTTACCCACCATGAAACCTCCCAATGAGTGAAGCACCCATTCCAGTCACCCATCTCCCAAGTCGAAAGGTGGTCTTTTTGTGGTGCGAACCTTGTCGCGACCTACCTACGGCCAGTCTGGAGCCAAAGATTCGAGGTTTCCATCCAGTAGGGGGTACCCCCCATTGCATCATCCAGTCATTGCAATTGGTGTTTGGCCCAGAACCAAGCGATTGCAGGGCTCCGTACCGATTTGGTATATGGATAGATAATGATAAAGAGATATCTAAATTATCTAATTATATCTTCGATTCACGGGTATGGCAGTAATTCGCGGATAAATTTAGTGGATATATGATATATATATATTACTGAATCAATCATCCAGTTCCATGTCAAAATCTATCCATGTTTACTATCTAATATAAACAAAAAGTGAAACTGCTCCAGGTACTGGCAATTAAAGGCTCGCACTCGACTAGTGCCGAACTTCACTTGCCTTTTTCGACAGCCGCCAGATCGCAGTGGTCAAGTCTCTCACTATATTGGAATGATCCTCGAAGTTATCAAATGGTGAGGCTAGGGTTGATACATGTGTATGTGTAATACATATGTATATATATATATATGTATACATACATATACATATATATATATACATAAATAAATATATATATATCATATTAGATATATATATATATATAGCATTGATTCAATGTCAAATAATTGGGGATGGAAAGCGATGGAAAGCCCATATGCCAAACATCATTCAGACTGTTTTTTCGAACAGGAAACACACTTGAACTTCAATATATGTATATATATATATATATATATCTCTATCTCTCTCTCTCTTTGCTGGTTTACTGTGTACATCCCACTTCCCAGTGACTTTCTCATCCCAGATTCCAGTCATGGGGTTCTTCACGCCTGCCACACTGCCTGTTCAGGATGGGTTAGTCATGCTGAATCCCATAGTTTTTTCCCGATCTGTCTGAAAAAAAAACGAATCCAGCCAATTTGAGTAAAGCAATAGTAGACCATCCGAATCTTTACGATCAATGAATGGGATAAGACATCAAATTCTATGGTTTATGACATCGCTTTACAATCATGAATTCCATCTATCCCGAAGTGAGAGTCCACTCTACGGCTAAACGTCGAAGCACCACCAAGGGAGGCGAGCTGGGATTTGTGGATGTCCAACAAAAATAGGAACAGCTAAAGCACCATGATTCATTCATAAAACCCATGATTTCAGTCAGCTTCAGTTCAAATTTGGCTGATTCCCATGTTCTGCTGCTTCGTTGACCCATGGTGACCTTCTCGCGTCCGAAAGGTCCGCGCTGCGCCGCTGCGCTGTTCAGTCGACGCGTCGTAACAGCTTGTCGCCTAGGCCATGGAGATCTGAGAAAAAAATGGGGAAGCAACAAATGGATATAGCCCATTTGTAAGAATTGATAAGTGTTAGATCCATTTGCACTTTTACGATAGGTGTTTATTTCTGAACTGACGAACTGCCGTAAATTGCACGGTTTTTTGTTGGGACCTATCGGTGGAGGATTCAGTTTTTCAGAATGAAACCACCAACAATAGTTGCTACGGTATAATTATAAGCACAAGTTGGGATGTTGGGATATCGATATGACCCCATCATATCCCATACTTAACTATGGTGAAAATGGTGAAATATACCCTCTGGTAAACTGTCACATAACTATGGAAAATCACCATTTTTAAAGGGAAAATCCACTATTTCTATGGCCATTTTCAATAGCTATGTTAGTTTACCAGAGGGTAACCCAAAACAAGGGCATCCATCCTTGCGATACGGGATTTGCCGTATTGTCTAGTCGTCATTTTTCAAATCAAACTTCAGGATCTTCAACCCTTTTTGGGGCTCCATTACTAGAAGTGTTTAAAAATCATCCCATGACTAGGTGTAGACCCAACTTTATAAACCTCAAACTCCGGGTTTCAAAAGGGACCCCCCCGCGACTTGAGGGTCGCCATGAGACATTATTAAGCACGGGAAAGGTATGGATTTTCAGTGTTTTTCCATATGTATATAATATAATATAATATATAATATAATATAATATAATATATAATATAATATAATATAATATAATAAGAAAATAATATAATATAATATAATATAACATTTATTTATTTATTTAATGATTAAACTAGAAACAAACCATTAATTACATGGTCCATGAGTGAAATTACATGGTCTTTTTACGATTTAAGAAAAAAGCACACATTTTTTTCACAAAGTTCCAATAGATTCACCTCTGCCCCAGTTCCAAGCCTACGCTCTGCGCTGTGGGGAGCTCACCCAGATCTCAGTGACGAGGACGGCTGGTCATCGGGACGGTGTCAAACGTTGGAAAGATGGGAAATCCTCGATTTATGGAGCAAAATGGAGGAAAAATATGGGAAAATAGGGGGAACATCATCTACAAATGAAGGACTTCCGATTGCTGTGGTTGATTACCGGAGGGTGTGAATCATGTTGAGCCAGACACCCAAACAACCGGCCACTAATCAGCAGAACTGTTTGAATCAAACTAGTGGAGTCAACCCCAAGTTATTTTATCCACGAAAATCAAAGCCACCCAATTGAACCAAGAAAAGCTGTTTCAAAAATCCGGAGGCTGACATTCAGCAGCAGCCCCTGCATGGCATAGAACAGTGGCACTGTTCAACTGACATGATTCCGGAGTATTTGATGCGGTATGATGTGGTTGTATTACATTGGAATAATATGAATCATATATTGGATACATCTAACTAGTACTAGTTTGGATGGGTTTTAGACAAACACGGGGAAGTTCAAAAACGAAAATGGATTTCAACCAAGAAGAATGAGAAGGAACGCAACCAGTATTTTTGTTTGTAAACCCAATAACAGACCTACAATTGGAGGATGGTTCATACAACCCATTGAAAAGGGGGTTTATGTTGTGGTTTACCACATCATATAAATCAACTTCAAACAAGGATCCTTCGTCGAAGCAACATCTATGATTGGAAGCAGTCAAGGAAACATGGGAACAATAGCCAGCCAAAATGTCCAGCAAGAATTGAAAAACATAATACAAGTAACAACAATGTCAATTTTTAAGCAATTGGAAAAACCGTTCAAGAATCTCAACTCTTTTAAAGGGTGTTTGAACAGGGTATGTATGAACCACCAATCATCGGGTCATTTTTCCCTCATACCCTCTGGTACTTTAAGATGACAATGATTTTTCATCGACTTTGCCCAGGTGGAGTGACTAAACTAGTGCGATTCATCCCTGTCATTGAAAATTCCTATCAAAAACATTCAAAAAACACCATCCGCACCGATCTCTCTTTCCGATGGGAGTTTTTCGTCACATCCTGGGCTTTCGGACAATCGAGTTCTGGGGAGCTGTTCATCATCTTCAGATCCTTCCCTTGCGGCTGCCTCAACGACTCAGATGTTCGAAAAACGACCCCAACAAGGGATGATCTGTGCTGCACGTAATCTTGCGGACTGTTGCGAGAAAGCCTTGTAGATGTTTTTTTGGGGGATATCAAATCCCATGAAATCCCATGAAATGATATTAAACCCATTTAACCCAGGGATTTGTTTGGGGATATCAAATGATATGAAAATCAAGTGCCATCTCTGCATATCGAAACCCTGCTGGAGTTCGGGGCCACCGAACATAGCTGAAGGACCCTTGATGGGAAGATCTGAACATCTGAAATCATCTGGGTTTGTCTGAAAATAGGGTATATTCCCAATTATAGCCATTTAATAGGGATAATGATCATTAACCATTGGGTTTAGGGGTACACTATTTTCAGACACACCCATCTGAGTTTCTGATTGTCATATCTTTCTCCCCAATAGCCCTCCGGCGCTCCGGCCTTCCCACACTTCACAGACGGCATGGTGATCGAATGGACGGCGTGGACGGGGATGCATTGTCATTAAGGTAAACCCTAGCCATAAACCTACCATGATTGGGGATGGCCATAAAATCCACATGGTGATGGGGGGATGAATCCCACATGGTGAATGTTATCATCACGGATTGGATTTTCGCAGATTCAAACTAACCCTAACGACTTCCATTGTCATCACCCAGCAATCAAACATTGCAAGTGTAATTATTAGCATTTATTAGCCATCGAGTATTACAAATCCTTAACCATCGTCAGTGAACCCCAATTCATTCACCACGATAACGACCGTAGATTCCTATCACATCCCGATTTGAAACACGATTCACTCGCCCAGTGACCCCTGTTGATTCACTGCAAAGGTGAACTCCACCTCATGCCTGGCGACCGATTCAACGGCGGAAAACCATCCGAAAAATTCGCCTCATTTTTGGCATGATGTTTTGATGATGTTTCGATGATTGTGTTGTCGATATGTTTCATACACATCCCAGTCAATTTTTGTCGGAATAGTGAGTTTCAAGTGACCCTTAGTCATGTTTTTTAATGAACCTACTGGACTATTTTTCCTGGGAGCATCACTAGATCCATTTTAACCAAAAACGCTGTAAAATTTTGGGGCTCATGAGGTGACCCATGATTTTCTCGGCCATCGATGTGTTTGCCAAAAAATATAAAAAAAAAACCAGGGCCTGGCTCAAGATGCTAAAAATGTCATGAAATGTCCCCCAGAATCTGCCATTAAAATTGGTTTATGAATACTGTATATTTACACTGTATATATATAATATAATATATATATATAATTATATATATATATGACTCTTCTCATATCTATCAACAACCATCATGTTTATAAGACTCGCATGACAGTTTCATCCATGGTCAACCTTCCCAAGCCAAAGTCACCCGGTGGTCAAGGGCCGTTGATCTGGAACCTGGCTTGTTGATGTTCCCAGCGCCAGAACAATGGTGGGAAATTGGGAGGTGACACCTTGAACATGGTGGCTGAAATATGGACTCACCATAGAAATTCATGATGCCTTTATCACTTGAAAATGGATGTTATCAAAATTTATCACTTTAATTTTTTCAATGAATTTGGATTCGCCATAGAAATTTTAAATTTTCTGGTCGTTAGTCGTAGCATTTATCGAAAACGGGGATTGATGGGTCCCATGATGGGACTCATGGGATCCAAATGGAGCTATCGTTCGCTGGGAATCCATCTATTTCGATCGATTTGGGCCATGGCTTAAAACCATGGCGAACTGTAACAAATATATAACCAACAACATGATATTGACAGAGATATTGGCTTTAACAAATATATGTAACAAATATATAACCAATATATGTAACAAATATATAACCAGAGGGTAACAACCAACAACATGATATTGGCTTTGTCCAAACGATTATCCTTGAGATTTTCTTTGGGGACCATACTTTCACCGTGAAATCCATAGGTTAACCGCACAAGAATTTTTTCAGCTCCCCCGTTAGCACGGGTCAAGTCATTTGGGATACCGATCCACAACGCTGGTCGTTCTGGGGTTTCCCCCCCTATTTTTGGTGGATAATTTTGACCTATCGTTGTCTGAACTTAATGGGTACCCACATGTACCCAGTGGTTTTTGTTCGTCATCCCAAAATGAAAATAGCGAGGTTCAGACAAGCCTTCACTCAATGAAATGTCATCAAGCCTTCAATACAAATATACTATTGATTAAACCATGTCACCATGGTGTTCCATATTCACCATGCATACTTTTCCTCGGCGATATCGCAAGCTTTTTAGCCCGGTAGTCATCCCAGATGAGCGAGTGTTCAAAACGATGGTGAAATGGTAATCAGTGATAAGATCCCCTATAAATGGAAGTATAATATAATATACATATATATAATATATATATAATATATATATATATAATTAATATATAATATATATAATATATATATATAATATATATATATATACTGTGTGTGTGTCTCTGTCTCTACATCACTGTAGTTGCAGCCAGGGGTGCCACCGATTTCCGATTCATTTGCAGTCACTAGAGTTCATTCCTCAAGTGTTTTTGTTTCCAACAATTCCTCTTATGTCATAGCCATGGTTGGCAGGGTTGGCATGCTATTGAGCGTTTGGTGTGCTGGGCCCACTGTTGTCACGTTTCAAAATGCAGCTCTGCTCTGGCTGTATGAATCAGAATGGTTCAAAGCAGCAGGGTTGTAGAAGACGGCGTACCTATTGTTCTCAAAGCAGGTTCAAAAATAGATAGCAACAGGAGACAAGCCATGTTAAACTCATGCTACAATACATATCATATAGGTATAGCAAAACCTTCAGCCAGACAGTTTCAGTAGATCCTTTACTCATGTCAGTAGCCGCCGAAGCCGTGGCCTGCTTGGCAGAGAAGAAGGTGACAGAACTCCGAGCAGCCCTTCTGCTGAACCAAAGGCACATACGAAATTGCCAGCAGCAATCTCGCAGAGAAGCTGCCTCGCTGCTCAAAGGCGGCCTTTCTTGCCACTCTGAGCGAAAAGTTTTGGCCGTCTATGCTTTGTCAAACTGGGATTTGAGTTTGGCTCTGCGAGCGGCACAGCGGCTGTCCCGATTGCCCCAATGTTCTGCAGCATTTCCAACATCAGATTTTGTCAGGGCTCTCTTTCGTAACCACAATTGGGAGGACTTTTTGATGTTACATGATGAAGGCTCAGCACTTTGGGGACCTGCCCGAAAGTTTGCACGGCAGTTCCTCCTGGAACACGATGCTTGGTGTTGGGTGAAGCGTCAAAACCTTTCTCAAGGCGTGGCACCATCAGCGGCAGATGTGTTTCATTACTATGAGAACAAGGCGCTTCAGGTGGAACCTTGTGGACAGCCTCGCCGCAGGACTGTTAACAAATGGGCTGCTCGTTGGCGGGCTCGGTGGGGTGTTCGCAGGGCATGCCTGCGGTCAGCTGACACAGTGGATCCCAGCATTTTGCGGGACAAGGCAAGAATGGGCAAAAAAGCCGGGTCGCTTTTTTGGAACCCTTTTTTGGTTGAAAATGAAAGCATCCCTGGTTTCTGGGGCCGCTTTTTGGGACACAAATGGGTCGCTTTTCTAGGGCCCCAAAACATTGTACTTGAGCCATTTTTTAAAGTCTTGTTTGCCACTTTTTTGAGACCCGAATCTTCGTTTTGCCAGGTGAAGGCGTTCTGGAGATCCATTGCCTATGTGACCGAGAAATTTGGCCACCAGGAACTGGTTTGGATCAACTTCGATGAAACTTCTGTTCCTTGCTGTCCACCATGTCCGAAAGGTTGCGTGGTGAATGACTGGAAGTCTTACCCCGTGCCAGGGGGTCCACAAATGCCGGTCCCCAAAAGTCGGCGGAGGATCGCCTACACATACGGGGCCTTGCTTTGCAGTCATCCGGGCATTCAAGCGGTGCTGCCGCACTTCCTGGTTTGCAGCGAGAAGAGGCTTCCCCAGACTGTCGCCAAAGGTTTTGCAGCGCTGCCACCGACGAGGTTGCGGCTTCTTCGCAGAAAATCTTCTTGGGTGACAACAGATTGCATGATCCGAATTTTGGCAGATGTGAGAGAGGCGCTCCAGCCTTGGCTTCCAATGGTTAAACCAATACTCGTTTTGGACACAGCATCTCCTCATCTACCTAAAAGGTTGATGTCTTTTGCCAAAAGGAAAGGTTTTCAGCTTCTTTTTGTGCCAGCTTCCAGCACTGGCCTGCTACAGCCGCTAGACACCAGTGCTTTCAGTGCATTCAAGCATTGGATAAAAAGAAAAAACCAGCAGCTGCGGCGCACCGCCCAAGGCGGTGAACCGCAGCAGCTTGAGTTTCTGTGGCAACTGGGTCAAGCTCCTCGAGAATTTTTCGCCAGCAGACAATGGGCCCACGCTTTCGAAAGCGTTGGGTGCGGGCGAGATGTGACAAAGTTGCATTCCGCCTTGCGAAATTTCATGCAGAATCCAGTGTCCTTACCGCTTCCTGCCAAACCCACTCCGGCAGAGATGGCTCTCATTTGGCCTAAAAGGCGAAAGATGAGCTATGCGGATGCATGTTTGTTCTGATAACACCAAAGGTGTTGAAGTCCAGATCTGCTGTTGCAAAAAGGCAGATGCAACCGGAGAGCAGCAAGTGTGACACTATATATTATCTGGGTAAATGATCATATTTCACTAATCTGAATCTTGCAGCCATTTGGGGATGATTCCCCTTACCAACCATGATTCCAGGCTTCGGTCGCGACGAGTTTGGTCGTTCGAATTTACCCAGATATTATGTATAAGTATAATACTAATCAGTATACCATGTGGTTATTTAACATAGCCATGGAAAATGACCCATTTATAGATGGTTTGCCTATTAAAAATGGTGATTTTCCATGGCTATGTTAGTCATAACCAGATGGTAATACCCCTACGGTTTACGAATGATGTGGGATTCACCGCCATTTGCACCACCCCACGGTAGGATCCAATGGGCGTTTTCAATCTTCGGGTAGCAGACAAAAAGAACGCTGGTTTCAGCAACACGGGCTACTCTCGCTAGAAGAGCTTACCCTCTGGTAAACTAACATAGCTATTGAAAATCACCATTTTAATAGGTAAAACTTCTATAAATGTACCATTTTCCATAGCTATGTTAAATTACCAGAGGGTACATTTGCGGACATATAGATGATATCATATTGGCGTATGGCTTGAAAATAGGGGAGGCATGGTGTATTGTTTGGAGCCGCAACCACATATGGCCATATTCCCTAGTTACCATCATCCATGTCTATCATCATCCATGTCTATTGGTTGGAGAAAAAGGCATGTATTGCTCAACCCTCCCAAGATTCTTTCATGGTGTTTTCCCCGGAATATTAGGTACCTCCAAATTCCAACATGTTCTAGGGAAATATTGCGATTGTATCTCCTTTTGGTAAAAATAGGTTTGGGTCTGTTTGGCATGCCATTTATCATCATTTACCCATTGTTCAATGGGGTGACCCGAAACTTTTGCATCAAGCAATTTGGAATTTGGGTCTTCAATGGGCCCCGTTTAGTCCGCCGCCCTCCTGCCTGTGCAAGGCTCACGTAAATGTCGCGGCCTGAGAACCTCTGGGAAAATGGGTGGTCAAACGTGACAAGTTTCCGTTGAAACCCTGGTTTTGGATCACGAATAATGCTAGTGAAGCAAACATAAATCTGCCATTTGGGGATTGTAGCACTCTTTGATGGTAAAATTGGGGATGGTGGTTGCACTATTGCATAAAACTCACATTAACGGGGTTGACCTTGGGGTTTCCCGGCAATTCCTCCTGTCCAAGTCTGGACACATGTCATGATGGCTGCCATTGTTGAAGGATATTTCAGGGACAAAGAAACTAAGTTTCTTGAATAAATATCCTAAATCAATCCACTGAGGTGTAGATAAAGCAGCGCTTTATAGCGACCTCCTTGGTGGCTTGGACGACGTATGTTGAGGAAATATCCAGTCCAAAAAGCTTGAATCAACCAACCATCATGTTTTTCCTAGCATCAACATCATTTCATACCTTACATCCCATCATTGATCAAATTATATCACATTCTTGTCCATCATGTTCCATCATGTTCCATCATTTCCCGGATTTCTTCATCATTATTCACATGTTTCCCTACATGTTTCCCTACATGTCCCAATGGTGTTTCCCACGTTGAAAACCAACGTCCTGGGTCCCACGGACGGTGTGCCCTTCAGCTCGGGGCAGGTGAGGAAGCCGAAGCCCCGCGCCACGTTGAAACTCTTCACCGTGCCTTTGAAGACCTACCGAATTTGTTTCAAGCCGTGGATCAATCCGTAGATGTCATGGGACTGTCATGGGTGATGTGGTGGGGAAATGGAAGAATTGTAACTTTCATGGGATTTCCTTGTAGAAAAATGATGAAAAATGTGTATCCGGTTCATCAACAGCCTTGCCCAGGAGGTCGGCGGCACGCGGGCCTGGTGACGCTATGGGGATGTTTGAAGGCTTTGAAGGGAGATCATGGGGTATAGAAGCAATAGCGTGTTTAAGAGTGTGTTGAATACTGTTGAATAGTTAGTGTTGAAAAGCGTTTATTATTGTAGTGCTTAACAGTGTCTAAGGGCGTTTTATGGGATTTGCTCGTCGAGCGGGTTTATTAAGGGCGTCTTAACCATCAACAACGACCTTATCAATGTGCGGAGATTCTGGGATGGAGAACAAATAAGGACGAGCAACTGGAGAACAAATCACCATGTAGGTTTTGTATGGTTTTGTGAGATGGGGATTTCTAGATCTATATTCAACATATGTTAACATAATATTTACTATTGATATATATTGATGGGGGAGATAAACCAAAAAAAAAAATGATACTTGGAGGGGCAGGCCATGGTTTCTAAGTTCGCCATTGATTTCACCGATGGCCCAGCGCCGAGACGCTGCATAAAACCCTGGTCGAAAACATATGGGTCAACATCCCATAAACATAAGTGGGTAAACATGGGTGAGCTAATCATGGTCACATATCAATTGGGGTGCACATCTACCTACATTAAGACATTAATCATTAACCCCTATCTTGGATGTGCATCCAAGGAAAAGCAGCTCGCAAACCATGGGTGGCTCAAGACAGTTCAAGCGGTACGTGAAACACACCCCAGCTATATGTGTGGGCTGTCGACGTACCAGCCGGGATGCATGAGTACATGACGATAGGCTATCAATTCTGTACAACGACCCGTCTTTCATTTTAGGATCATGGGTGTTTCTTGATGACCACATAACTACATAAATTGGAAACACGGAAAACGGACCTACAACTGGAAAAATGGGCAATGAATGTGAGGTCCTATAAAAGCCCCTGCGCAACCTGTTATTGAATGTTATTGACGGACAACATCAACATGACCGTTCTGAGCTGCAATGTACAATGGTGTTTCACCGCTATTCTGTGGGTGATCTTTGTCAGCGCCAACTTCCACCAAATGACGGACAACATCAAGATGGTCCTTGCAAGCTGCAATGAACAATGGTGTTGCACCCTGATTCTGTGCTTGATCTTTGTCAGCACCAACTTCCACCAAATGACGGACAACATCAACATGGCCGTTCTGAGCTGCAATGAACAATGGTGTTGCACCCTGATTCTGTGCTTGATCTTTGACAGCACCAACTTCCACCAAATGACGGACAACATCAAGGTGGCCGCTATAAGCTGCAACGTACAATGGTGTTGCACCGCTATTCTCTGCTCGATCTTTGTCAGCACCAACTTCCGCCAAGTGACGGACAACATTAAGATGGCCGTTCTGAGCTGCAATGTACAATGGTGTTGCACCCTGATTCTGTGCTTGATCTTTGTCAGCACCAACTTCCACCAAATGACGGACAACATCAACATGGCCGTTCTCAGCTGCAATGTACAATGGTGTTTCACCGCTATTCTCTGCTTGATCTTTGTCAGCACCAACTTCCACCAAATGACGGACAACATCAACATGGCCGTTCTCAGCTGCAGTGTACAATGGTGTTGCACCCCTATTCTCTGCTTGATCTTTGTCAGCACCAACTTCCGTCAAATGACGGACAACATTAAGATGGCCGTTCTGAGCTGCAATGTACAATGGTGTTGCACCCTGATTCTCCGCTTGATCTTTGTCAGCACCAACTTCCACCAAATGACGAACAACATCAAGATGGCCGTTCTGAGCTGCAGTGAACAATGGTGTTACACCGCTATTTGTGGCTTGATCTTTGTCAGCACCAACTTCCACCAAATAACGGACAACACCTAGATGGCCGCTCTGAGCTGCAACGAGCAATGATGTTACACCCCTATTCTCTGCTTGATCTTTGTCAGCACCAACTTCCACCAAATGACGGACAACATCAAGATGGCCCTTGCTAGCTGCAATGTGCAATGGTGTTGCACCCTGATCCTGTGCTTGATCTTTGTCAGCGCCAACTTCCACCAAATGACGGACAACATCAAGATGGCCGTTCTGAGCTGCAGTGAACAAAGGTGTTACACCCCTATTCTGTGCTTGATCTTTGTCAGCACCAACTTCCACCAAATGACGAACAACATCAAGATGGCCGTTCTGAGCTGCAATGAACAATGGTGTTGCACCCTGATTCTTTGCTTGATCCTTGTCAGCACCAACTTCCACCAAATGACGGACAACATCAAGATGGCCGCTCTGAGCTGCAATGAACAATGGTGTTGCACCCTGATTCTCTGCTTGATCTTTGTCAGCACCAACTTCCACCAAATGACGAACAACATCAAGATGGCCGTTCTGAGCTGCAGTGAACAATGGTGTTACACCGCTATTTGTGGCTTGATCTTTGTCAGCACCAACTTCCACCAAATAACGGACAACACCTAGATGGCCGCTCTGAGCTGCAACGAGCAATGATGTTACACCCCTATTCTCTGCTTGATCTTTGTCAGCACCAACTTCCACCAAATAACGGACAACATCAAGATGGCCCTTGCTAGCTGCAATGTGCAATGGTGTTGCACCCTGATCCTGTGCTTGATCTTTGTCAGCGCCAACTTCCACCAAATGACGGACAACATCAAGATGGCCCCTGCTAGCTGCAGTGAACAAAGGTGTTACACCGCTATTCTGTGCTTGATCTTTGTCAGCACCAACTTCCACCAAATGACGAACAACATCAAGATGGCCGTTCTGAGCTGCAGTGAACAATGGTGTTACACCGCTATTTGTGGCTTGATTTTTGTCAACACCAACTTTCACCAAATGACGGACAACATCAAGATGGCCGTTCTGAGCTGCAACGAACAATGGTGTTACACCCCTATTCTCTGCTTGATCTTTGTCAGCACCAACTTCCACCAAATGACGGACAACATCAAGATGGCCGTTCTGAGCTGCACTGTACAGTGGTGTTGCACCGCTATTTTTGGCTTGATTTTTGTCAGCACCAACTTCCACCAAATGACGGACAGCATCAAAGTGGCCACGCATAGCTGCCAAATGCAATGGCGTCATACTTTGATTTTCTGCTGGGTTTTTTTCAGCACCTGCCTCAAGCAAAAGCAGCATGCTTTCAACATGTCCTCCCCTGGCAGCATTGTGCAATGGCGTGTTGCCATGTTCGTCTGTGACATTCGGATTGGAAGGGCTATTAAGAAACTTTTCCAGGGCGATCAAATCATTGTCCATAGATGCAGAGATGACTTGTTGGTTTCGTTGGGCATCATCTGGATAAAATTCCAATATCACCATCTGAAGCTTCACTGGAGCGGAGGTAAAAACCTCATCATCCGGGATCTCAGAACCATCTTCGTCGAAGAGTCGTTGTTTGAATCTGGTGACACCGATCTGAACTGCCAAGGCTTGTTTCACAGCCTTTGCAGTCTTTCCTTCGAATTCATCCGGGGCAAGGGCTGCCAGAGCCGCACCTGACAGAAAACACACCTCCATTGCGGCATTGGCTGAAATGCAAACAACCTCCTATAGTTAGATATTTCAAGATAAGTCAAGCAAGTTCTGATGAAACAATGTGCAAACTACTCCAACAGTTCACATATGTTTACCGAATTTCTTGCTATCAACGAACGCACCGTCGACAAGAAACGTCAATGGCATGGGCATGGTGTTTTCCCTGCAACCAACATCAAATTTAATTGACATGACGATTTTCTACCCAAATAATTTGCTCACATGTTCCATGGTCAGGTAACATGGGATTCCAATCATAATGGGCGCAGCAGCTGTGAAAAGTGGGTGGATGACCACCCGAATATATAAATCCCTATGAACAAGATTGATGACCCCCAAAAACTGCCATTCTAGCCATGTGTTTTAATCGTCAGAATCTAGACATTACAAATCTCCCCTGAAATATCATCATTTTACCCTTTCACCAGATTGCAGATAACGAAAAAAACTCATTAGATGATGGCTAAATCCCTAATTCCATATTCTATCCTACCAAACAGTAAATCCCATGAAACATGATTAAACACTATTACAAACAATTACACATACTCTTAAACACTATTAGACTCTATTCAACACTCCTAAACATGTTTAAACCTTAGGATACTGGTTCTGCATCCCATGATATCAGCATTTTACCCATTCACCAGACTGCAAATAACGAAAAAAACTCATTAGTTAATGGCTAAATCCCTAATTCCATATTCTATCCTATCAAACAGTAAATCCCATGAAACATGATTAAACACTATTACAAACAATTACACATACTCTTAAACACTATTAGTCTCTATTCAACACTCCTAAACATGTTTAAACCTTAGGATACTGGTTCTGCATCCCATGATATCAGCATTTTACCCATTCACCAGATTGCAGATAACGAAAAAAAACTCATTAGTTGATGGCTAAATCCCTAATTCCATATTCTATCCTATCAAACAGTAAATCCCATGAAACATGATTAAACACTATTACAAACAATTACACATACTCTTAAACACTATTAGACTCTATTCAACACTCCTAAACATGTTTAAACCTTAGGATACTGGTTCTGCATCCCATGATATCAGCATTTTACCCATTCACCAGATTGCAGATAACGAAAAAAACTCATTAGTTGATGGCTAAATCCCTAATTCCATATTCTATCCTATCAAACAGTAAATCCCATGAAACATGATTAGACACCATTACAAACAATTCAACATCCCTTAAACACTATTAGACTCTATTCAACACTCCTAAACATGTTTAAACCTTAGGATACTGGTTCTGCATCCCATGATATCAGCATTTTACCCATTCACCAGATTGCAGATAACGAAAAAAACTCATTAGTTGATGGCTAAATCCCTAATTCCATATTCTATCCTATCAAACAGTAAATCCCATGAAACATGATTAGACACCATTACAAACAAATCAACATCCCTTAAACACTATTAGACTCTATTCAACACTCCTAAACATGTTTAAACCTTAGGATACTGGTTCTGCATCCCATGATATCAGCATTTTACCCATTCACCAGATCGCAGATAACGAAAAATAAACTCATTAGGTGATGGCTAAATCCCATGAGATCAGCGTCATGCCTGAAGCGTTGCTCGTTCCCGGCTCCGCCGCTTCCGCCAGGTCCGATTTCTCTGCCTCACCGCAGCGTTGCGGTGCCGGAAAATTGAGGCTGAAGGCATGGTGAAAGCCATGGTTCTTATGGGAGAATATGCTGTAAACTAAGTAAACCCTGTGTTTTTTTTTCATTTGAAACATGTTGAAAACAATCTGAAAGTATGGTTTTGCCCAGGAAATATGGAATAATATGGGTAGATACCCTTTTTCAATGTGCCCCTTCCAAGTATGGAAATGGTGGATCTATACACCCCAAAATTGATACGTGTGCGCAAGCTCCATGAAGATTAGTTTCCTTCTTCCGCATGAAATCGAATTTTGAATTATAACCCATTTTCAAAGACACCCAAAGATCAGTTTGATGTTCTATCCCATATCAAGCACACTATACGGTATCACGTATATAAACATATGTACATATATACATATATACATATAAACATATATACATATATACAAATATG